ACACCGAGGGCACTCTGTTATAATTCCCACCCGGCTCCTTCTCACCCAACATTGCCCCAGGGTTACGTATTTCTTTTTGTTTGTAGTTGTTTGTAATCTTTATTGTTGAGATTATTACAGATGTCCCTCTTCTCCCCCCCCCCCCCCTAGCCCCCATCCACCTGATCCCGCCCAGCCCCAGGCCTTCGCCAACCTATTATCTGTGTCCATAGGTAACGCAGACATGCATAGAAGATCTTTGTTTAATCTCTTCCCGTCCCCATCCCCTACCCCCACTCCCACCCCCTTCCCTGAGAATCATCAGTCTGTTCCATTTCCATGCCTCCGATTCTATTTTATTCACCAGCTTATTCTGTTCATTAGACTTATTCATTTATTTTGATTTTTAGATTCAATTGTTGATAGGCATGTATTTGTTGCCATTTTGTTCATATTTTTTGCCCTTTCCTTCTTCCTCCTCCTTTTTTTAAAAAATTGATTTCAGAGAGGAAGGGAGAGAGAAACATCAATGATGAGGAGGGTTTGTAAACTGGATGAAGCAGGTTCTTAGGGAATCACCGGGACGGAGCAAACAGAAATGGCTGCCCGTCAGCCTACGAGGGGGGAGGTCCCAGAAAGGAACAATTAACCCTGAGAGCACTTCCCTCTGGGAGAAAGCCGCTCCGGAATTCTTGACCTGATGTCAGACAAACCAGTTCCTCCTCGTATGTGTCCGTGTTCCTGAGCCTCACGCTGGAGCTGGAGCTGGAGCTGGAGCTGGAGCGCAGAGGAAGTGGGACCTTGTAAGTTCAGTTTGTGGTGCCGGCCTTTTACGAGGAACAGCTGGGCCTCCAGCAGCCTCTGTGTCACTGAGCCCCAATCGCACTGGTTTTTACAGCCCGTAGTTCTTTACTGCCCTTAGGGATTTCTCTTCCCAGCTCTGGACAATGGGCTGGGGTCTGGTGTGGGGCTGGGACCCCTCTGGGCTGGCGTCCACAGAGATGGTCTCCCTCCCAATTAAGAAAGTGGCACACCTGGGTGCTGGACCAGCCAGTTCCGTGCCTCCTGCCTCCTGCCAGTCTCAGTGTGCTTTCTTCTTTACTTCTCTGGCTGAAGGACTTCCGTTCAGCTGGCTCTCCAGTGGTTCTGGATGGTGGTTCTGTATTTTAGTTGTAATTCTGATGTGGTTGTGAGAGGCAGCGATATAGGTGTTTACCTACGGCACCATCTTCCTGTGTTTTGTTTTCTATTAAAGATCTTTCAATTGAATTAGTCTTTTCAAAGTACCAACTGATGGACTTATACATTTTCCTATAGTGTTTCTGCTTTCAAATGAATTCCTGCTTTTATCATTCTTTTCTAATTATTTTGTTTCATAAGACATTTAAACGTCAAACTCATTGTCATTCTCTCTGATGTAAAAACATTTAAGGCTATGAATTTGGCTCTGGCTGCAGCATTGGCCATAGTGCAAATCTATTACTGTACAGTGTGCTCATTTCCACTAAGTTTAAAGGGCTCATTAATGAAGTTTTGGTTTCCACTTTGATGAATGTTGTATAATTTACAAGTGCTGATATTGTATTTGATTTTTCTTTTGTTATTTCTAATTTTATTGCACTTCAAGGGAGTATATAGCATTTGGGGCACTTTCTATTTGTTAAAATTTGAGATTTTCTCTTTGTGGCAAAAATATATAATTGATATTTGCAAATTTTCTATGCATTAGAAATATGTATTTTTAGTAAAAAATGAGGAAAATCTCATTTCCTGAATTGGATCTTTTTTATGTATTGAGCTTTGAATTTGGGTTTTCTTGATGCATACTGATGTGGAAACTTAAATAATTTATTTAAGAATTTATTTTTCTGCTCCTTCCCACTGGGAAGCCTGAGCACACCCTCTTCACGGAGTGTCCACACGCAGAGCCATGTCTGGGCGGTGGGGCCTCCCCTGGCGGCCCCACCTGAGGCTGCCCATCTGCAGACAGAAAGTTCGTCCCGTTCCTGTCACTTCAGATTCAGAGGCTGTGGTCTTGAGGTGCTAGTCCTCGCCCAAGGTGGACGGGGACTCCTGAGAAAGGGGTGATGGAAAGGCCATGGTGGTGCCCTGCTCGGCAGCCCTGCTTCTCGAAGCCTCCTCTCTGGGGCTGTCTCCCAGGTTACCCCTCGGGGTCTTGTCTTTACCCCTCGGGAGAGGACAGCCAGGGCAGGTCACTGTACCCTTGGTCTTGGCTGAGCAGGAGCCCCCAAATATGGTGTCTTAAAGTAGGAGCAAGTTATGTCTTCGTAGTCTCCCAAGTGACTTAGAACCTGCGGAGTGTTTGCTGTATGTTACAGGGAAAGCTTTAGGGGATGAAGCATCCAGGCTAGAATGCTGCCAGCTGGGCAGGGCCACGGCGTTCCCGTCTCACCAGGCGTTCACAGGAGGCATCCAGGTACGGGCTCCTCAGAGTTGTCAGCGCGTGGCTGCCTTTTCCTCTCATCAGTGACGTGCCCCGGGATCTGACTACGTTTTGTGTGAGTGCCATGGGGTCAGCTTTGCGGCTATAAGCTCGGTGCCTTGAGTTCTGTGTGAAGCCGCATTCTCTGAACGCTCACCGCTCAGTCCGACAGACTGCTCCAGTGGTCGGGGTGCGAGCTCGGGCCTGGTGACAGACTCCCCTCCAGCTCAGACCACGGGTGGCTTTCCCTGCTCAGGCGGCTGTGGAGTCTGGTGTCCGGAGTTACAGTGTCAGGCGGCCTCCCTGCGACCATCCCCAGGGCGTTCGTGTTGTCGGTCCCTCCCCCATCGGAGCCAGTGAGTGAGCACAGCCTCCCCCTGGAAGCGAGTCCTTCGCAGGCTTCTTCCCCTCCGAGAGCCGGCGGGGACTGGCGGGGACGAAAGGGCCGGGGTTCTCCCGGGAGGGGCGGCAGGAGGCCACGGCCAGCAGCCGGGACGGGCGGGCCTGGGCTCCCCTGCGCTCGCTGTGAATGGCCCTCGGGAGTCCTCGCGCCCTGACACTGCTCCGTGCGGGAACCGGCGCCGGAACATGGTTTGCCCGAGACGTCTGGGTCTTCAATCACCACGTCAGCCCTCGTGTCACCCCTCCCAGAAACCGGTCCCACACACCCAGGCTCAAACACTCCCTCCGGGTCCGGATTCACCGCCTGACCCAGCGGATCCACACGGGGCCGGGCTGGGGCCGGAGGGCGCAGGGTGACAGGCCGTGGCGGGGAAGGACAGCGACAGGTCAGGGTGAGGCCGGAGGCGGCAGGCCTGTTAGATGGCCGCTCCCCGGGACCCTCACCTGTCACATGACCACACCTAGAGGCAAAGAACAGGAGGTGAAGTCCTAGCCAGGCAGGCGAGGTCTTGGCCACACAACCGTTTCTGGACCAGAAGGGGGAGCAGGAGGGACCTGCCTCAGCCAGCCATGCTGGCCGGGGGCAGCTCAGCGTTTCCAAAGGGCCAGTGACCTCAGGACGTGAGACTCCCCGGGGTGACAGCAGGTTCTGGCCCCAGAAGCGGACAGCGGCCGGGACAGGGGCTCACAAACCCAGGCGCGGAGCTTCAGTTCTTACATTTCATTCTGCTTCACCGCTCCGCCTGCTCTGGAGCAGTGGCTGGGCACCGGGCCCCGTCCTGCTGGAGCTCTGACGGCCAGAGTGTGCTCCGCCCGCGTGGACCTTTCCAGAACAGGGCTCCCATGGTTCTGCCTCCCCTTCCTCCTCCTCTCCTCGTGCCGAACAGGAGGTGACAACCCTGAGCCTGAGTGGATGCCAGCGCAGCCTGGGCGGCAGCGGGTGGTCTGTCCAGGACACGGGGCAGGTGCGGGGCCAAGAAGGGACTGTCCAGCCGGAGGCCCTGGCCCGGGATGCTGGGCAGAGGACAAGGGCTGTGGCTCCTCTTCAGGTAATTACTCCCAAGGACAGCACTTGTATTTGCATCCATAAGCTGGTTTAGTAAAGGAATTATAGAGCAATACAAACCCCAAACCATTTTTCAAAATTCTCATTAGCTGTTTTTTTTTTAATTAAAAATTGTTTCTACCTTTGAAGTTTACCAAAAAGCATAGCCTCTCTGTTTCTGCCACTGGGAACACGTCAGACAGGTCATGTGACGTTAAAGGAGGCTGGGCGCTGAGTGTCCTCCGGCCTGAGTGTCTGGTGGTCCTCAGCCACACGTCAGAGGCCGAGTGGGGACCACGGCCGCCAGCCTGAGCCGGTCCCGGTGGAGGACTGGCAGGGAAGGCCGGGCGGCCCGCAGAGCCAGGGCTGACTCTGAGGCCCGTGGGTGCTGTGGGCAGAGTGCAGGATGGGGGCGGGGGGAGGAGGGGGGCAGCAGTGGGTGTAACAGCTCACACCCCAGAACCAGCGGGGTCTGGCTGACACAGGTCCCGGGGCGCAGGGAGCCGGGTTCCTCGGTCCAGGGCACCGTCCTGGCACCAGCCAGAACGTATGTGGACATGCGTGCCCTCACGTAAGCTGGCATGGAAGTGCATTCTGGGAATACGGTGGCACAAGATTCCAGACCAGGTCCTGAGACTTGCTACTTCAGCCACTGTCACCAGCTCCCTCACTCCCATGACAGCAAGGCCACTGTCAAGTTCTCGTGAAAAACGTGGGCGACCACAGGGCCGCGGGGGACACACGCCCGCACTGGCAGTGGAGGCCCCGCGGCACCCTCCTCGGAGCGCACCTGCGGGCACCGCCGGCAAGGAGCCCCCTCCGCCGGCCCTGCCGCAGCCCCGGGTGGCAGCCCGGTCAGCCAGGACCTGACCCGGCGAAGCTCAACCGTGGCAGACCCGTCCTCAGTCCCTCACGAGCAGCCGGGAGTCGGAGTCCTAGGAAATGACTTGCCAAGAACACCGACACCCCGATGACTTTCAAAGGAAAGGCCTGAGCAGGCGCCGCCGGGGGCAGGCGCGGAGGACACGAGGAAGGAGGTGACCGGGACCCGGGGGTCAGGTCCACGCCTGCCCGGATCACTGAGGACCGGCTCCGGCTCCTCTTCCTCCTCCTCCGGCTCCTCCTCCTCCGCTACATGCGGCAGAGCTTCAGCGGGAAGTTCTCGGTGATGAGGTGGTCGCCCTGAAGCAGCACCACGACGTTCACCTCAAATTCTGAGAAGACAAAGGCCGGTGGCCCGGGGTTCAGTGCGGCCGACAGCCCCCTTTCGCCCCAGCACTCACCTGGGTGACACGCACTCAGTTACGTTGTTTGGAAGGGGTGCAAGTGAACTCATGGTCTAATGTAGAAGCCAGGGTTCTCTCCGGACTAAACAGCACCTCACAGGATTTGGGGGAAGTGACATCGATAGGACACACGGCCCTCGGGACGGGTCCCCACGCTCAGAGAATCGGGCACAGAGAGGCTCCCAGGCCCTCACACGCCTGTCCCACAAACGCGGTGCAGTGACTGACGGCCCGGGACCGTCATGTTCTGGTCCCCGCCCTGACCTCATGCGCAGCGCTGGCCTGTCCCCTTTCCCAGCCCCCGCCGCCCCCCGTCGCCCCCGCCCCGGCCCCCACCCCGGCCCCTGCCGTCCCCTCCCCACGGCCCCCACCGGCCCCTCCCCACAGCGCCCTCTCGGACTGGGGCGGGAGTGCACTCACCCACTTTGAAGTTGGTGGTCTCCAGCGTGGGGCAGGTGAACAGCCGGGGGAAGACCATGTAGATGGGCACTGAGAGGCCCCGGCAGACGTCCCCGTCGGCGATCTGGATGTTCTGAATCTCCGTGGCGTCCCGGGCGTAGCCTTCCGCACAGCCTGGGGGGCACCGCGCGGTCAGAGAGCCCCCCACAGTGAGCACGAGACCCGCGGGGCCGCTCCCCTCCCGTGCTCCCAGGGCTCCGGGGCCTCCCCCCGCCGTGCTCCCCCTCGGGGCCCGCTCCCCTCCCGTGCTCCCAGGGCTCCGGGGCCTCCCCCCGCCGTGCTCCCCCGCGGGGCCCGCCCCCCCCCCCCCCGTGCTCCCAGGGCTCCGGGGCCTCCCTCCGCCGTGCTCCCCCGCGGGGCCGCTCCCCTCGGTGCTCCCAGGGCTCCGGGGCCTCCCTCCGCCGTGCTCCCCCGCGGGGCCGCTCCCCTCGGTGCTCCCAGGGCTCCGGGGCCTCCCTCCGCCGTGCTCCCCCGCGGGGCCGCTCCCCTCGGTGCTCCCAGGGCTCCGGGGCCTCCCTCCGCGGTGCTCCCCCGCGGGCCTCACCGCAGGTCTCCACGCGCACCAGCTGCAGCTCGATGCTGCGCACGGCGGCCTCCGAGCTCTCCACCACCAGCTCGCCCGTGAGCGGCTGCGTGACGGCGCAGTTGGTGGAGGTGAGGTGCCCGCGGACCAGGAACTTGGGGAGCAGGGCTCTCTGGCAGGAGACGGAGAGGGGGCGTCAGGGCTGGGAGTGACTCCAGTCAATTAGGATAAACAACAACGGAAAGCAAAGACGGTAATTCTGACAAAACCCACGGGGACCCTGTTTCACCAAACGGGGAAAGGTAGACGAGTGTTCATCTCCTGTCAGCCTAACTGCCGCCCGAATTCCTGCAGATGCAGCCCTGCACCCCCGACCCCCATCCCAGGCTCCCATCTCGGCACCGCACCGCACGGTCAGGCTGGAGAGCTCCTCGCAGAGGGAAAGGCGTGTAAAAGCGGCTAAGAAGTATTTAACTCAACGAGGCACGCCAAAAAGTTAAAAAAATAATAATTTAAGCCCGGCTGGTACAGCGTCGACCCAGGAGGTCACAGGTTCGATTCCTGGTCAGGGCACGTGCCTGGGTTTTGGGCTTGCTCCCCAGTAAGGGGCGTGCAGCTGGTTCACTTTCTCTCTCATCAATGTTTCGCTTTCTCTCGATAAATAAATAAATAAATAAATGGATCAATAAATATTTTTTAGAAAAAGAACTCAGCATGTTCTGTGTGATACAGCTTTGGCAAGTCCACACGTTTTGGAAACGCAGAGCACAGTGTCCGTGCTGGCTGGGAGCCGGGCCTGTGGGAGGAGGCTGGTCCCGGGGAGCGATGGCGGGAAGCAGGTGAGGAGGCCCCCCTGCGGCCGCACCTTCCCCTCGGACGGGTCCCGGTCGCTGGAGATAATCCGGAGCTAGACCACCGTCCAGCAGAGACATGATGCAAGCCACACATGTGACCACACACGTAGCTTAAATGTCCCAGCAGCCGCATTTTAAGAGGTGAAAGGACCGGGTGACTCAGCCAGTATATCCAGCATCACGTCCACCTACAATGTCTGAGAAGTCCGACGTCACCTTCCCTCGCGGGCTGAGGCCGACTCCCAGTCCGGCCCACAGCGCGTCTCAGCTCAGGCAGCGGCCCCTGTGGCCGGGCCGCCCACTGGGCAGCACAGCCTGGGCTGACGAGCGGGAGCGGGATGAAGTCTTCATTCAGGCCCGCGTTCTAAAAATAACTGAAGTACAAGCAGCTCTTGTTGAGGAAAGCGAGCACCGGTGCACCACACGGACGCTCCTCAGCAGACGAACAATGAAAAGCTCTCACGGTCCGATGAGGAGCCTGCCAGCGGCCCGCCCGGCCCGGCACAGTGAGACCCCGCCCGGCAGAGCCACGGCGCCACCGAGGCCCCACCAGGCCACCCAGGGCGTTTCTGAGCCTGTGGCTGGCGATGACGCTCCCCGGGTCAGGGGCTGCAGCCTTCAGCTGGCAGAGCGCTGGGCCGGGTGCCCACCAGGCGCTGGGCGCAGTCAGACCAGAGGCGGGGGCACTGGGCAGGGGCAGCCAGCAGGCTCCCAGGTGATGCCAGAGGTGGGCAGCTGGCCTCAGGCAGCCTCTGCCGCTGGCCCTGGCCCAGGTGGCCTGCAGCTTCCCTGACGGGACTTCCCACCAAGGAGACGCCCACGGCAGCTGGGCAAGGAAGGGCCAGTGTCCACAGTTACTGCGGCCCAGGCAGGAGCCCCGCCACCCAAAGACAAGCCCCCCGCGACCCGACCCTGAAAGCTCCAGGCCAGCCTCCTCCGCCACAGCTCCGAGCGCGTTTGTAACGGGAACAGATTCTCTGGGCCAAGCCAAGGACAGAGCCTAACGAGACCGTCTGTCTCAGACCCTCATCCACAAACACAGTCTAGTAACCAAGGACCCAGACACAGGTGAGGAAAACCAGAGCAAGGAAAGGAGGCGCACTCTGCAGAGAACCACCCCGGGAACAGCGCCTATAGGAGGGGATGAAAGGAAGGGCCCGCGTGGGGGAGGAGCCCCAGGCAGGAAGGAATGGCGGTGAGAGCATTCCACCCGGAGCGCTAATACCACGGACAAGCGGACAAGCGATCAGATCAGGGCTTCTCTGGGATGCGTCCGGGAAATGACCTCTGAGACATCCCCAGGACTGAAGGCAGGCTGGCCTCACCGTGCGGGAGACACTGAATGCCAGATCCAAGCCCTGGAGAGTGCCTGACATCCCCAGCACAGGGAGGGCGAGGTTGGGAGTGTGTAGGAGAGGAGGGATAAGGGAGAGGAATCACAGCAGCTCACACAAACGTGAGGACCAGACTGTCACCCGTATCACTGGGTACCAGGAACCCAGGGAACTATTTCAGGGCAAATGCTATCAGAGCTGGACTTTTCTACCTAGACTAGAATTCAAGTGTGGGAGCAAAGGAAGGGGCTTTCCAGCCACTCGAGGGTTCACGCTCCCTCCTCACCCTTTCTGAAAGAATGACTCCAGGATGTATTCCAGCTAAACGAGGACCAAGGTGAAAAAAGAAGGAAACGCAAGTGAGTGGAATCAATGGCGAGCAATGACCACGGTAAAACTTACTGTCAAGGCTGCGAAATGTGACCGAAACTTCCGGCCACAATGACGAGCTGTCCGTAGCCAATAAAGACTACCCCTGGGGAAAGGAAACGGCGATAACCGGGACTTCGATTTCAGACCCAACAGGCAAGGCGGCGTGACGAGAAGAAAACGCAAAGACGTTACAAGCCTCTGTCAGAGGAGCGGCTCCTCAGGTTCTGTCCTCAGAACGCCCACGTGTATCTGAACTCTTAAGAGTAGCTCCTGGGAAAGGAGAAGCAGGCTGCCAGAGGAAAAAGGAACAGCGCCACCCAGGACAGAAAGAAACAAGCAGCCTTAATGAGCGAGGAAAAGGGCAGCAGCACAATCGGTGGAGCCGGGCGGGTGCAGAGGGACAGACTGGCTGCTTCCATCTGCTCACCGCCACCTCCCTCCAGCTGTCACACGTTTCCTGGCATCTAGACTCTTCACAGGTAAGAAACGGACGCGTTCTAACAGAGTGAAGGAAAAGGGGGCTCTCAGGGAGGGGGAGGTCGTAGAGGAGGCCAGGGCCCACCCCACCACACGGACCGCTCTCTCCTCGCCAGGCTGACTCCTGCAGAAGAGGCCGGAGGGCCCCTGGTGGTGCGCTCTCCAATGCGGCGGCCATGCCTGTCAGCTGTGGCTCTGCGGGAAGACTGGTCTCACTCGGGAGCCCCGCCCCGAGCTTGTCCTCAACCCGACTGCCCAACAGGCCGGAGACAGGCTGCGGGTGAGCGGGAAGCACAGCTGTGGCCATGGAGGAGAGGAGACAGGTGGACACTCGTAGGCGGTGGGCACTGGGCTCAGGGAAGGGAAGAGTCTAACCACAGCGCAAAACTAGGAGAAGATGTGAGAAACAATAAACACCTAAGAAACTCTTCACAGTATCAGTCTTTTAAGTAGTTTCTGAGTTTAAAGACAGACTGCTCGGGGTACAGACGATGACCAGGCCTTTCCTCTCGGCACCAAAGGAAGATCCGCCAACACAGTCTGCAGTGGCTCAGCCGCTCAGGAGACACCGCTGGCACCGACACACACACACACACACACACACACACACACACACGCACACGACGACAACGACACCACATGTACCTCTTTGACGTTCTGTAGGGTTTCGGGTGTGATGGTGAAGTCCACGGGGCTCGGAGTCAGCTTCCCCTTCTGAGGCTGAAACAGGAGGGAAACCACAATCAGGGCTCAGGGCCAAGAGCTCTGCGGGTCAGACTTCTTCCCTCTTTGGAGACAGGAGGGCAGCCGTGAACCCGGAAGAGCTTGGCACCAAGAGGCAGGGTGTGTGGGCTCTGAACGCACGAGGGAACGAGGCCATCGGAGATGTGGACAGAGGGGTAGGCCGGCCCCGCACCAGCGTGCGGCCGGCCAGGGAAGGCCCACACCCACACGGCAGCCGCCGGGGACACACGGACCCAGGGCCGTGAGCACGACCATGTCACCAGGTGTCACCCCGAGGTCAGCGCTGCCCGTCACTGCAAGGTCTGCGTGCTGGGACTCCTCAACGGGCACAACCCCGCAGGTCAGCGCCATGCAAGACCCTGGCACCACCCAGGGACGTGGGCGCAGGGAAGGACTCCACGCTGGTGGCTCAGGCTGATCCTCCCGGGAGCACACGCTGGCCGGCCGCTCACCGCCGAGTGCACGATGAACTCGCAGGTCTTGCTCAGGTCCTTCGCCAGCAGCGAGCGCTTCATGTCGCAGCGCAGCGTGTACTGCAGGGACGAGGAGCGAGCGGCGTTAGTGCCATTGTTTCCATCTTAGGATATTCAAGGACACAAGTCAGTGTTTTAGGAAAACTCAGTCTGACAAAAGTGTATCTGAAATACACAGAAGGGTGACTGAATGCTCAGAATGAAGGCGTTTCTATATTTAAGAACACACAGTAAGGTTACTCCTCAGCCGATTCCCACAGCCGTCCCGTGGTTGGAGCCACGGACCGGGGTTCAGGGTTCCGCCCGCAGCACAGAGTGAGGCTGAGCGGAGGGCGAGGAGGAGCAGGCACTGAGCAGAGGCGGTGGTATCTGCAAGGGCAGACGTGGGGGGGCCGCAGCCGCAAGCTGGCAGCCGGCGGTGCCCCGCAAGGGGAGACCTGCCTGGATCTGACCTGGGAGTGCTAGTTCTGTGGTCCACATCCCTGTTTTGACTAAGTCAGCTCGAACTGGATTTCTATAACTTGCAAATAAAAGGGTGTGAATAGCAGGCACTAACTTTCGGTCACAATGTTTTTTAAGTGTGAAAGCAATAATTACCATACAAGGCAGCTGGTAGCTGGTGGGTGGTAAGTCGGGGAGGGCTGAACAAAGGGGAGAGGAGGGAAATGCTGAGGCTACGTATGGGAACGGGAACGGTGTAACTCGCAGACCACTATCTCACTTCTAACAGCACAAGAGTAAGGACTGTCAGGGCAAGGGCAGGCACAGTAACTCACTCAGTCATTCGGTGACCATCTGCACTGAGCGGCCAGATAGCTGTGATCTCTGAACACATAATACCCTGGCCACTCAGTGCACGAATTCATGCACTGGGCCTAGAGCACTCCACGCCAGTAAGCCCCTAGGAGAGGCCGTGAAGACTGCACGGGGGTCCCCGAGGTGGGCTCTGAACTCATACCTGCCGGTGGCAGGAGCCCACACTCCAAGTCCTGACGCAGTTCTGTAACTGGAGCTCAGACTTGTCTGCAAAGCCCTGACTCCCTCCCTCATCGTGATCTCTCCCCGTCGCTGCAGTGTGATCTGGGCATGAGGGCAGGAGGTGGGCGTGGCAGGCTGGAGCAGGGCACCAAAAGAAGGTGCAGATCCCATCTTTCCGACCATCAGTGAGCACATCGACAGGCGTGAAGCAAGAAGATGCTCACCCACAGATGGAGAGCAGACTCCTACGAGGGCACTTTTAACTGTAAACAGGGTGACTGCCCGGGGAATGGTCTCTACCAAGTTAACAGCTAAAACTTTATCATGAAATAAAAAAGCCCTTTTGCACATAAGACAACAAGGGTCTCCTCTCATTTAGCGGGGGTGGGGGGGCAGCAGGACTGACATCAGAAAAGTACCTTTCTTAAAAAAAAAAAAGTGCCCTCTTGCCACTGACCGAAGGGAAGTCCCCCCTGCCCCCCCAGTCATGCCTCCAAACTCGGAGACAATGGCAGCTGTGAGAGACCCCAGAACCCCAGTGGTGGACAGGAAGTCATAAACTCGCTTCCCCTCGGGGACAAGGTTTGCTCAGTGGAGAATCGGCCTCTGCTAACACAGCGGCCTCTGGGGCTGAACAAAGAGATGCTTGTGCGGATGACACAGACAGGCTCGTCGGCCGGGAGGAGGCCTATCCGTTACCGCGGTGAAAGCCCTCACAGCGCGGCTGCAGGGCGGCACAAAGGGCTCCCCGGACGCAGTGGTCACAGGAAGCGGTGCCGGAGGAGCCGCACGCTCGGGGTCACGCAGGGAGTCGGGCTGCACTCCTGCCACCCCCGTCCTCCCCGTCCTCGGGGCAGCGCCCCAGCAGGAGGCGGCGAGGCTGCGACGGGGGCGCACCTGGATGTTGACGAACACGCCGTGGTAGGTCTCGTACAGCACCTTGTTGCCCTTCACGAGCAGCGGGAACTCAAAGGGGATCTCGGTCCTGCCGCCGGGGAACTTGCCGGGCTTCACCATCTCGATGGTGCTGTTGATGATCTGGATGGGCTGCGGAGAGAGGCGCAGTCCGCCGCGGGGCCTGCTCAGCCCCAGGCTCGTGTCTCCTCACCGAGGCAGGCCCGGCCCGGTGACACCCTGAGAGCTGACGTGGAAAAAACACGGGCGGCCCTGCAGGGGCTACGGTTCGAGCCCCTCTTCCTCTGCCCTCACCCCCACAGATGTGAAGGCCAGTATGTCCTTCAGGGAGAGGAAACTATAAATACAGACAGAGGGTACATTCCGGAATCCGGGATCCACTCCAAAGGATGGCCACTGCCCTTCCCGCACGGCAGGCAGGCCCGGCCGCCGGAGGAGGTGCGGGCAGGCCCACGCACACCTCCAGGAGCGCTGGCCTTGTCAGGCCGCTCAGCCCCTACGGCTCCCGGCTTCTAGCCAGCAGGAGCGAAGCCAGCGGCTCCCAATCTCAGGATCTGATCAGAACCAACTGACCTGGTTCCAGTGTGGGTAGTAGGTATTAAAAGTGTGACTGTCACTACACTGCCTGCAGGACAGACAGACAAGCGCACACGCCGCGCACAGGAGCACTGCACCGGGGCCTACCTTCACGGAGTTGTAGAAAGCTTCGAACACGCCCACGCTCTTGGCGCTGAGCTGCAGGTTCACGGTGCCTTCCACGGTCAGGAACAGGCCCTGGTGCTGCACGGGGTCCTTCCCGCTGACCACCACCACGCCCGAAAGCATCTCCTGGGAGAGAGGCAGCCGCCGTCAAACGAGAGGTCCCTTCGGCCACCTTGTTCGTTAGCAAAGCAAGCCTCTCCCCGCATCAGTTTGTTCCAAGACGCAGACATTCACCAAGCACTGACATTCACCGAGATCGGACGCCAGGAGGCCAGGAGGCCAGGAGGCCAGGGGAGAAGGCCCGGGTCGGTGAGGGGGGTGGGTCCTGCTAATTACAGGGCAGGCTGGGCACAGCCTCCCTTCCCGCGGAGAGCCCCAACAAAGCCTGCATTCAGAGGGCAGGGAAGGGCCTGGGGTGCATGGCAGAGCCCCCTCCCCATGTGAACGGCAGATCTTCAGAAGGAATGCTTGTCTCAGGGTCTCTCTCAGGGTGCTGACGACAGTGACGGCGCATTCCCCGTGCAGGAGCCACTGAACACAGCGCCAGCCCCGCGGGCTCCCTGGCGGCCCGGGGTTATCTAACGGCACAGAGGCAGGCGACTCCCCAGCTTCCTGTCCCCACATCCGTCCGCTGGCCGGCGGTCAAGGCCAAAGCCCTGGCTCACGCACCATCCCACAGCACCACCTCCGCTTGTCGGGAGATGACTTCCAAGTGAGATGACACGGACATTCACTTCGCTCTCTCAATCGGGCAGTTCCTTTCTGTCCAGGAACCTCCGGTGAGGTGGGGTGTGAAGAGGAAAAGGAATGAGGAGATTAGACAGCATCACCCAGAACAGAGATTCCACAATAAACACAAAACAACGCGCTTCTGAAATGGCCTTCAGAAGAGTAGTGGGACTGCTGCCAAACCATAACATGATAGGAAGCTGACAACACAACTAGGAAAAAAGAAAACAGGAAAAATGACCTGTAGTTCAGAGCGTTGGCGTTTAAATCTGTCTGCCTTCCATTTCCTCTGGTCACTCGAGAAGCAGCTTTCACCAGGTCCGCTCCGCGGGCGCAACTCTGGCCGCCGGCCTCAGTGCTAAGGTGCTGGGCACAGTGTCTCTCCCACTCCCACCTCACAGCCCTGAGTCAGGGTGCTGGGCACGGTGTCTCTCCCGCTCCCACCTCACAGCCCTGAGTCAGGGTGCTGGGCACGGTGTCTCTCCCGCTCCCACCTCACAGCCCTGAGTCAGCGAAAACAGACACTAGCGTCTCCGTGTTAAGCAGAACTGAAGGAGCAGAGCTCTTAATGTAAAAAGCTCATGAGCAAATTTAAGTGAAAATTCCTCTGAAATGGCTTTTAAATTCAATTAAAATTAATTCTGTTAAGTTTTGTATAACCCAAATCAAACAAAGCCAAGTTTCAAAAATTTAAATCCACCAATATATATTTTTTAAAACACACTTCAGTCCTTGCCGGTTTGGCTCAGTGGATAGAGCACGGGCCTGCAGACTGAAGGGCCCCAGGTTCGATTCCAGCTGAGGGCACATGTCTGGGTTGTAGGCTGGATCCCGGGCAGGGGGCGGGGGGGCGTGCAGGAGGCACCCGATGGATGATTCTCTCTCACCATTGATGTTTCTTTCTAACCCTCTCCCTTTCTGAAATCAATGAAATATATTTAAATAAAACAACACACACTTCACTGGTATGTCCCAGAAATAAAATGAGACAGAATAATTTCACAAACACGATCGATTAAACAACACAGAGGCCATGAGAAAAGTTCCTATTCAGTCAGGACGTGCTCAGGGAGCCCCTGGGAGGGGACCGACTGGCCGCGGGCTGGCATCGATAGCCAGGTGCACACGGACACGGCAGGCAAGTACCTGGGAGCAGGCAGAGCAAGTACTTCGTGACCAAGGGACTCTCTTGTCATTCTCTGATTTTAATTACGAAAGAATATAGTGGAGAGAATACAACATTTTAAAAATTTGTAGATAAATTAGATACTCTAACAATATACAGGTCTAGTCAACTCCTTCCAGCAAAAGGAAGATACAGAATTTGTCCAAGAACAGCCCAACGAGCCAAGAATTTTAGAAACAGAAGAGATTTCAACAAGACTCAGAGTAAAATGAGAAAACAATCTTTTTCTCTTTTTAATTGAGCTGTAATTGATAGGTGACACTGTGTTAGCATTAGGTATACCTGGCAGTTCTTGATTAATCCTGGCAAAGGAGGACAGAATGGACGTGGATATTAAATGAGAGTGAATATAAATCAAGGAGGACTTCCCCGCAGACTTGTGTCCAGACCCTTGGCAAGAAGCAAGCAGTGTCCGTTCCTCCCCCAACACAGCAAGTGGAGGTTCTTAACCTGAAGCCATGGCTTCAAAGAGAGGCCACTCAGACTTACGGATGGCAATGAACCCCGGAAGCGAGTGCAAAGCCATGGGCGTGCGGGCTATGCTTTAGGAAGAATAGTCTTAGCGTTTGGCCTCTCAGTGGAGGAGGCCTTTGACCTGGGAAAGATCAAGAGACACGGGTCAGAGAGACACAGGCCCAACACGTGCGCACACACAGACCAGGGGACAGAGCCCAGTGCTCTGCCTGCACATCTGGGCCCTGAGGCCGCGTGGCCGGAGCGATGGCCAGAGGGGCCAGCCAGCGGCCCGGGTCCCACTAGCTCTGTGGGACCTCCGAGGGGCGAGGCGTCCAGGCAGCCACACCACATGGCGCTTCTGCAAATCAATGCAAGGCTTTGTCCGGAGGAGCCGCGTCCAGAGAAAGGTCCCGACAGCCGCCTTCAACCACAGACCAAGGACGAGGCTGAGGCGACTGCCACCGCCTTCCGTGCTGGCGTCCAAGCAGAAACCACGGCCCCGGGGGCGGGAAGGAGCCCTTCTCTCCCTGTGTCTCCTCTAAACGTGAAGGCCACTGCCAACGGCACAACGTCCTCCTTGCTTGTTCTGGGGAGTGAAATACCAAACCCGTAATTACACTCCGGGTTTGAAGATGTTGACATCAACTCAGCATCCCCCCGCTTTCCTGGAAATTATCCAACAGAATAAGAAACAAAACCACAAACTCCATTTTTGGCGAAGGGAAAACCCAGTTAGATACATGAAAGAGGTGCAGGAGCTACAGAAAGAGCGAAGATGGGGGTACACGTGCAGGAAGAAGCCAGAAGAAGGCCATGGCTGTAGAAACAGCTTCTGAAAGGCGAGGGCTCGCTGGAAAGGCTGGTCAGGTTTTAAGGAGCAGAGGCGGACCTCAATGAAGAATGCTACAAATGTGCCCCAAGCAGACCTGTCTCAGCAGGGGGAGGCACTGAGGTGTCCCCACCACTGCAATCTCAGAGGCGGAAGAAAAGCAGAGGCAGCCGAAGCCGGTTTAGCTCAGTGGTAGAATGTCGGTCTGCGGACTGAAGGGTCCCAGGTTCGATTCCAGTCAAGGGCATGCACGTTGGTTGCGGGCACATCCCCAGTAGGGGTGTGCAGGAGGCAGCTGGTCAATGTTTCTCTCTCATCGATGTTTCTGGCTCTCTATCTCTCTCCCTTCCTCTCTGTAAAATAATCAATAAAATATATTTTAAAAAAAAGAAAAGAAAAGCAGAGGCAGATTGGACAAGGTCACTTAGAAAACCTCAGTGTTTTATACATTCATCTCCTACAAGAGGTGACATTAAAAGTACCAGCAGAGCCTGGACGGATGGCTCATCTGGTTACAGTGTCGAATGCAGATGCCAAGGTTTCGGGCTGGATCCCTAGTCAGGGCATCAGGGCACATACAAGAGCCAACAACGAATGCATGCGGAAGTGGAACAACAAACCAATGCCCCCCCCCCCCTCCCGCTCTCTCTCTAAAATGGTAAGAAACATATATTTTAAAAATTGAAACTCATGATTTTGAACCTAGTGAACTGGTTAACTATTAACACAATAAATCAATCTTTACAGAATGAGTGCCCTCTAGTCTTAAACATACAAAATTCTAAGCCCCTTAAAATTTGGTAACTTGCCCGGCTGACGTGGCTCAGTGGATGAGCGTGGACCTATGAACCAGGTCACGGTTCGATCCCCAATCAGAGCACATGCCCGGGGTTGTAGGCAGCTGTGGGCTAAATCCTCAGTGTGGGATGTGCAGGAGGCAGTGGATCAATGATTTTCTCATCACTGATGTTTCTAGCTCTCTCTCCCTCTCCCTTCCTCTCTGAAATCAATAAAAAATATATATTTTTAAAAAAATTTGGTAACTATGGGCATAGTGGTCTTCCTCGGAAGAGATGTCAAGATTGCATGCTACAAACTCCCGTGTCTCTGGATTATCTCTTTGGACTTTAACACAGCAGCCAGAGAAGTGAAAGCCTCTTAGTTTGTCCCAGACCTTCTCTCTCCCATGTCTTCCCTCCCGAGGGTCCCGGCAGCACCATGTGCCCCAACAGCCACTCTGTGCCCGGGAGTCCTCTGCGCACCGAACCAGTCCTTCCTCCCAGCGTCTCAGAAACGCTCAGAGTCACCGGGACGCTGGGTCCAGAGGGCGCGTACATCAGCAGTGAGCTGCTCTTTCATTTACCGACAGCATCAAATACAGTCTGCCATTCCACTTATGTATGCATTCACTGGTTGATTCATGTATGTGCCCCGACTGGGGATCAAACCCGCAACCCTGGTTTATTGGATCAACACTCTCATCAACTGAGCTACCTGGCCAGGGCCTCAAAGATCTGTATTTTTACACCCCAAGTCCTCGCCACTGCAGTCCCTATAATGGACCATTTGTGTATCAAGAATCCAGAAAGATGAAGTAAAACAGGCATTTGTGTTTTTCAGACCATTCTAGCTTTTCAGTTTTTCTTCATAACAATGAGCTGATGTGTGTAGGAATTTTCTTTGTGGCAACAGCAATACGCCCTCAGTACATAAACCCCTCATCACCGTAACCTGGCTCTGCTGGGCAGTAAATCTCTCATTTATGTTTTTCACAACCATGATATTGACAGCGCCGTTTTCATGAGTACGTGTGCCAGGATAAAAGAATGTTAAACATTCTGGATTTATAAAAACAAATGGCGTGTGTGTACATTTCGGGAAGATTTACTGCAGGGCTCTCCTCACCGATACGCTCCTCTGGCGGCCGCACTGGAATAACATAACCCACAGCGTCTGAGTCAACCTCTGGCCAAGGACACATCCACTGCGCCAAGCGAAGGCACCGCCGCCCCAAACCACTCGGCTTCAGGGCCAACAATGCGGTCACCTATCTGATCGCCTCGGTCACAGGCCCTCCTCCCTCCAAATCCACCAGGAGGGGACATCCAAACACCGGCACAGCGTCTGCTAAGCGCTAACTGGGCCACGTGCGGCGTGCATACCGACTGAACGAACACTGGGCAGACGGGCCATGCTGAGTGTGAAAAGACATCGTGGAAAAGCTTAATGGCACCTCTGCCACCTCCCACTGGAGTGAGAACCTATAAAAAATGTCTCTTTACCCGAAACCGGTTTGGCTCAGAGGATAGGGCGTCGGCCTGGGGACTGAAGGGTCCCGGGTTCGCTTCCGGTCAAAGGCATGTACCTTGGTTGCGGGCACATCCCCAGTAGGGGGCGTGCAAGAGGCAGCTGATCGATGACTCTCATCGATGTTTCTAACTATCTCTCTCCCTTCCTCTCTGTACAAAATCAATAAAATATATTTTAAAAAATAAAAATAAAATAAATAAAATATATTTTATTGATACTTTATAGAGAGAAAGGGAGAGGGATAGAGAGTTAGAAACATCAATGAGAGAAACATCGATCAGCTGCCTCCTGCATGCCCCCTACTGGGGATGTGCCCGCAACCAAGGTACATACATGCCCTTGAGTCGGAATCGAACCTGGGACTCTTGAGTCCACAGGCCAATGCTCTATCCATTGAGTAAAACCAGTCAGGGCGAAAGGTAAGTCTTTTAAAGAGACATTTAAAAAAAAAAAAATATATATATATATATATATATATTATTGATTTTTCACAGGGAGGAAGAGAGAAGAATAGTTAGAAACATTGATGAGAGAGAAACATTGATCAGCTGCCTCCTGCACACCCCCCACTGGGGATGTGTCCGCAACCAAGGTACATGCCCTTGACAGGAATCGAACCCGGGACCTTTCAGTCCCCAAATCGACGCTCTATCCACTGAGCCAAACCGATCTCAGCTCAATAAAATATACTTTAAAAGAAAGAGTTAACTTTCAATATTGACATACACTATTGTATTCATTTTGGGTGTACAATATTGCGACTAGACATTTATATACCTTACAAAGTGATCGCCCTGGTACCATACGTAGGTATTACAGTATTACTGACTATATTCCCTGTGCTGAACTTGGCATCCCCGTGATTATAACTGGCAATCTGTGCTCCACAATAAATGTTTTAAAACACTATCTCATTTAATCCTCACAACAAACCCTCCGTGTGGGCATCCTCTCCATCCCACAGATGAGAATTAGGACCAGAGAAGGCAGAGTCCTGCCCTTCAGAAGAAAAGGACACGATTTCAAGTATAATATTTGTTCCTGCCGGTGCTCTTGCTTATCACTGAATTCTGAGCCTCGGCCTTTCCAGCCGTCACCTGAGGGAACACCGCCTCTTCAGGGGCGGTGAGTTGGAAAGGGCTATGCTAGTTTACAAACAGTGTTAAGTCCTCTCATTGGGAAATCACAAATTGAGCTGGAAATACAGAATCAGGGAATTTTTATCACATTCCTGATTGCATCATATCATCTATAAGGCCTTCTTTAAAATGTATTTAGTGTAAATGCATTAGTGTCAAATGCATTAAGTGCAAAAGTGACTAAAGATTAAGAAACACTGCCATAGCCAGGACCGGTTTGGCTCAATGGATAGAGCGTCCCAGGTTCGATTCTGGTCAAGGGCATGTACCCTGGTTGCGGGCATATCCCCAGTAGTGAGGTGTGCAGGAGGCAGCAGATCGATGACTCTCTCTCATCAATGTTTCTAACTCCCTATCTCTTTCCCTTCTTCTCTGTATAAAATCAATAAAATATATTTAAAAAAAAAGAAATACTGCCATAACCCGGTAACTGCAGACTCCGGTCCTGGTATGGCACCAAAGAATGTGCACTAGATGGGCACGGCTGACACACTTTCACCCACCTCCCCCACGAGTGGCCCAGCTGAGTAAGACTTTCGGCTGGGTCAACTTCATGGTTCCATTTCTTGCATCTTTTCTAAATGTGCTTTTTATTACTTGTACCATATTTTATTATCATTATTTTAGAATATACTTTTGTTGATTTTAGAGAATAGAGAAGAACCATTTATGGCTGATCCATTTAAAATTTAGTAATTGTGGCACCTGACCTTTACATACTTCAGTATTCTCCTACATAACCAAAATATGTATGTCACATTCAGGAAATTTAATACCAACATAAAACTATTAATAGTCCAAATTTAAATTTATTTATAAAAAATTATGCCTTGTGCCGAAACTGGTTTGGCTTAAAGGATAGAGCATTGGCCTGTGGACTGAAAGGTCCCAGGTTTGATTCCAGTCAAAGGGCATGTACATTGGTTGCGGGCACATCCCTAGTGGGGGGTGTGCAGGAGGCAGCTGATCGATGATTCTCTCTCATCGATGTTTCTAACTCTCATTCCCTCTCTTCCTCTAAGAAAATCAATAAAATATATTTTTTTAAAAAATTATGCCTTGTATTTGGTTGTCATATCCACTTAGTCTCTTAACCTAGGAAAATTTCTTTTTTCATGACATTGACATTTAAAAATATATATATTTTTATTGATTTCAGAGAGGAAGGGAGAGGGAGAGATATAGAAACATCAATGATGAGAGAATCATGGATGGGCTGCCTCCTGCACGCTCCACACTGGGGATTGAGCCTGCAACCCGGGCCTGTGCCCAGATCAGGGACCAAACGGTAACCACCTGGTTCATGTGTTGACACTCAATCATGGAGCCACAACGGCCAGGCAAGATGAAGACATTTTTGAAGAATCCAGACCAGTTACTTCATAGAATATCCCTAATTCTGGATGTGCTGGTTGTTTCCTTATGAACTGATGTAGGTTCTTTTTGGCAGGAATACTGCAGAGGTGAGTGAACCCTGCTGTTATAGCCAAATGTATGCAGTCTCACTAGTGGTGACAGTAAGGTGTGGTGGTCACTGTTGGGCTTGATTAGGGAGATGCCTACAGATCCTTTCATTGTAAACGTGTTTTCCTTTGCAATTCAGGTGACTATTAGAGTCGTGTAAATATCAGGTGTCCCACTACCTCTGCACCCAAAGCTTTTAGCATCCACTCATGATCTTTGCCTGGTATTTTATCCTACCTTTTTAAAAAATATATATATTTTATTGATTTTTTCAGAGAGGAAGGGAGAGAGACAGAGAGCTAGAAACGTAGAGAGAGAATCAGCTGCCTCTTGCACCCCCCCCAACCGGGGATGTGCCCTCAACCAATGTACATGCCCTTGACCGGAATCGAACCTGGGACCTTTCAGTCCGCAGACCGAGGCTCTACCACTGAGCCAAACCGGTTTCGGCTACCCTAGCCCTTTTATGCATTCATGTGACTGATCGCTACTCTCCATTTTATCCCAGAGTGAGAGCAACTGGGATTTCGACCCTGACTGCACAATGGAATCGCTGGTATCGCTGGGGAGGGACCTGGACAATCACATTAAAAAAAAACAAACACCAAAAAACCCAGGTGATGGATCCTGATGAAAAGTGAGGGTTGGTGATCCCCGAGGTAGAGGAACCTTGCAACAGTTTCATTTTGCAAATAGAAAACTGAGGCCCGAGGAGGTTAAGCGGCCAGTGGCACAGAACTCAATGGCATAGTTAAGATTTTTTTTGCTTGCATTTTAATATGCCATTCTTTCTGTATGCTATTCGAAGAACAAAACCGGAGAAATGAGTAACTTTTGTATAGTGTCAGAGCTGACCACAGCCGGAAGTGCATACTTCTGTTTCCAGGGTGAATTCTGCTTCTTCATTAGATCTCTGCAGAGGAGCGGGTCTCCGAGGCGGAGCCGGAGGTCCAAGGAGCGCAGCGAGGAGCACCGCAGCCCCGGCGCCGGCCCCTCGGCCCGCACGCCCCCCGCCCCCGTCGGCCACTCTTCCGGGGGCGGGGGCCCTCGGTGGGCAGCCAGCGGCGCGCCCCGCCCCGCCCAGGGGCCCCCAGAGGCGCGTGGAATCCTGGAAATGACGGAGCCTGCAGGCCCGCCCGCCCCACTTACCCCGGCGTGATAGACCTTGTTCGCTCTCTTAATCTTAATGTCCAGGGAGGTCCCCATCCCGAAATCGCCGCGGCAGGCGCCACTTCCGGCCGCACGTGACCCGAGGAGAAGCCGGGAGGACCCGCCCCGCCCGCACGGGCCCCACCCCTTCCCTGTCTCCCTCGGCAGTTGCGTCACGTGACCTCGCGCCGGATGCCGGACGATTCCCCGCCTTCCTCCTTCCGGCGTAGGGGCGTGCTGAGGCGGGGGACGATCACTCTTCGTCACGCCCCCGCCGGGCGTGAGAGGCGGGACTAAAGCAGCCCCGCCCCTTCCTGAAAACCAGTCATAACGCCGGAAATGCCCTCCTTCTCGCCCGCTTACTACAAGGTTGGAGGAGGGCTTTCCCGGCGTGCGCCGCGTTGGGGGCGGTGCCGGAGGCGCGTCGCGGGAACGGCCCGCGCCTGGGAGCTGCGGCTCCCGTCATGCTGTGCGCGCAGAGCCGCCGCACCAGTGAGTTGGCTGGAAGGCACGTTGGCGGGGTGGTCGTTCCCTCCCTGTCTTCTCCCCTCGTCCTCTCCACCCCCCCACGGTCTCCCGGGGTTCGGAGGGCCCGCGGCCCCGCACTCAGGACTGTGAAGCGCCGCTGGACGGGTGTCTCGGCGGCCCCAGCCCCGCTGCCGGGCCCGGGGCCAAGGTCTCGGGGAGCGCAATGACCTGGCCCCCTCCGAGCCGCGGCGCGGGGTCCCCGGGCCCGAGGGCTTGTGGGTACGCCCCGTGCGCGCCCCGGACGAGTGTTGAATATTCATATCCGTGCGTGGCGCTGGGAACCAAAGCCGGGCGGACCTGCCTGTCTCCGCTCGGTTCCCGGCCGGAGCCGCCGGAACCCGACGCAGGTCACACATGTCTGGGGGCAGCATTGCTTCCTGGCGGGGCAGCAATGCCGTGTTAGGCGACGTACCACGTCTATGGAAAGAATCCTTGTAAGGGTTTTAAACAAGGACCTCCAGTAAGCAGAGAGGTACATTGAAGGCGTACTGATGTCTTGAAATGCCTGGGTGCCGACATGTGCTTTGAACTGCATTACTTAAAAAATGTTATGTAAAACGACTGAATTACTGTCCCGAGTGCCTCCCTCTGGAGAATGGAAGTGTTACGCCCATACTTAGCGATCCCCAAGGACCACCAGGGAGCCGAGTCCGATGCAATAAACAAAAGAGCCTTTACCATGCTAGCATGGGCCCCCCCACTCACGCCGGCAGCATGGCGGAAGAGAGAGAGCTTCTTCCAGTCCAGGCGTTTTGTAAGACAGCATTGATGGAGCAGTTGCTTTTGAAGGTGGTTACAAGTGGTATTTCCCGGTTTCCAGTTCTGTTTCCAGCTCCTCTCTGCCCTGAGGGCTTCCGTCTCTGCCTTGGCGATCTTCCTGCCAACTCCAACTCAGCAAATCTGAAACAATCCATTAGGGACTTAGTCATCTCAGCCTGCCTGTTTGCAATTCAGGAGGTGGATCCCTCCCCCTCCACCAGTCTCACCCAACCTTTCCAACCGGTAAAATATCTATCAACCTCGGTAGACAATGCAAGGAAACAGGAAATGAAGCCAGGATCCACATTGGCAAGCCCTTGGCTTCGGCAAACCTGCTTTCTGCTTCCTTTACCGCAGGACGTTTCCTGTTCCTCGAGGACAGGCTGCCAATTTCACTCCTCGCTGCCGGCTGTACACAATCTTTACGGGATGCTGGTGCAGTGCAAAGAGTTACCAGTGGAATCAGTTTTGCCATCATCGCGTGTGATGGCTTCCAAACATAAAACCACTTTTCTCCAGTCACTGCTGTTTTCCATCCCTTCACCACACCTTGGTGATGCTGGAACTTTCTGGTCAATTTCAGTTCCTGAAAATCAGAACACGTCCAAGTGTCTGTCTCATGGCCTGAGATCCTGAGGGTGAGAAGGTGCAAGCATGGCTCCGGCTCTCATACACTTCCCTCATGTTGTCTTCAAGGCCTGGGTGCTATATTGCAGCGAGTATCTTAACCGGCCAGTGCTGCGGTTCTCTTCCCGCTGAGATACCTGCTTCTCCAGAGGACTGGCCCTTGTTGGAAACTGCTTTCATGGGTCACGTAGAAGGCCTGGTGGTCCTTCTCGCCACAGTTTTAATGAGAGATCCATCCCCCGCTTGATTTTTTCCCCATTATCCCATTGCCTGCACACAGTATACTCTCCCCAGTCTCCTGGGTGAGGGTCCAGCAAGACCATTTACCTTCCTAAGAGTACATCTGACTCATGGGAAATACACATTCTTGCCACACAAAAAGCTGGACTGGAGGGTGTCCCATGGTCTCTCCATTCTGTTATCTGTTTGTTTGTTTTTTAAACATTTTTATTGATTTCAGAGATAAAAGAGAGAGAGCGGTAGAAACATCAGTGATGAGAGAGGATCATTGCTTAGCTGCCTCCTGCACACCCCACACTGGGGATCGAGCCTGCAATCCAGGCATGTACCCTAACCAGGAATGGAACCGTGATCTACTGGTTCATGGGTCAATGCTCAACCACTGAGCCATGCCAGCTGAGCTCTGCCTTTTAATCTTCCTCCTCCCTCATGAAATACAGGAATAAATCACAAGAATGCTAACTAGACACATTTGCAAGCAGGGGATGGAACACCAGCCTCTCCCTCCAGCGAGTCCCACTGATAGGACAGGTTATTTTACCTCCTCTTCTCCATCACTTCCACCAGAAACACTGCCACATGGCCAACTCCCTCCTTTCTTCCTTCCCCTGTATCCTTGTAGAGACTGGAGAGGGGGAATATTTGGTGAAAACGGCTACACCTGCATCTTCTTCCGAAGCCCTGGGGAAGTCGATTGTAGGCACCTTTCGGTGGAAGTCGGGGTGCTGTGCCTTGCTTTCGGCTGTAAGCCCAGTGCTCCTTCCGGACAACGGAGCGGTCCCATTACAGGCCTTTTGGTGGGTACCGTGATGCCCCCCGAGACTTATTTCAGGGCTGAAGGCCACGCTCCTGAGCTGCTCAGTTTGGTCTCAACCGCTTTCAGCTCAGTCATTCTTCGGGAACTTACCTCAGCTGCAGATAGCTGCTCTGCCCAAGGTCATGGTCCCGTCTAGAGGGTCAAGCCACACCTCATGAACGTAGTCAACGTGATGACCTCACCCCAGTTTGGGACAACTCTGAAGGACAGTGCCAGCTGCCAAGGTCCCTATCTTAGTAGCTGTTGTGCATAACAGATCATCCTCACATAGTGGTTGAAGACAAGAAAGTTACTATCTCCTGGTGTCTGTGGGTCAGGAAAGCAGTTGTGGCTTCAACCAGGGTTCTTGCTCCTGGTCTTGGTGTTACCATCAGTAGGTTAGGCCACAGGCACGTGAAGGCGCTGCTGGGATATGGGGTCCACTTCCAAGGTGGCTGTTGGCTGGAGGCCTTGGTGCCTCGCCATGTGGGACTCTCCCCTGGCCGCTCCAGAGCCCTCTCCGTGTGCCAGCTGACTTCTCCAGACCAGGCCATCACAGGGCAAGAGCCAGCAGGGCCTTGTATGGCCGAGCTCTGACTTCTCGCATCCACTTTCCTTCTGGTCATTAGAAGGGAGTCACTAGCCGAGACCGGTTTGGCTCAATGGATAGAGTGTCGGCTTTGGGACTGAAGGGTCCCGGGTTCGATTCCGGTCAAGGGCATGTACCTTGGTTGCGGGCATATCCCCAGTAGGGGGTGTGCAGGAGGCAGCTGATCGATGACTCTCTCTCATCGATGTTTCTAACTCTCTATCTCTCTCCCTTCTTCTCTGTACAAAATCAATAAAATATATTTAAAAAAAAAAAAAAAAAAAAAAGAAGGGAGTCACTAAACCCAGCCCATACTCAAGGGGAGGGGAATTTGGCTCCGCCTCTGAAAGGGAGCATCAAACTGTAAACCACTCAATACCCATTGGGCAATGGTCGGCAAACTCATTAGTCCACAGAGCCAAATATCAACAGGACAACGATTGAAATTTCTTTTGAGAGCCAATTTTTTTAAACTTAACCTTCTAATGCCGCCACTTCAAAATAGACTTGCCCAGGCCGTGGTATTTTGTGGAAGAGCCACTCTCAAGGGGCCAGAGAGCCACAGTTTGCAGACCACTGCCATTAGGGAACCTTGTGATTGCATCACAGTTCAACCTTTCCTTCTGCCCAACCTAGGCCAGCTTCCGTCACCCCACCCCTCCACACCTGTTGACCTGGAGAGCACCCCTAAGTACTTTCTCCACTCGGACCTCTACCTCAGGCCTGCCTCCTGGCAGCCCAACCTGCAGCACTAACTTCCTGACTTGACTTCTCTGCGCCTCAGTTCCCTCGTCTGTAACGAAATCTTAGAATCCCTCCATCGCAGGGAAGTTGACAAGATTCATTGCAGCTCATGTGTTTATCAACTACTTTGGGCCAGGCACTGCTCTAAGCATTTTGAATGTTTTAATTTATTCCATTCTCACAACAATCTTACAATTACTGTTTCCCTACCTTACAAAAGGAAAACACTGAGACACAGAAAGTGCCATCCTCATTCAAGGCCATGCCATAACGAAGTGCGGCACCCATGTTGGTTCCAGAGCTCACATGTGCAATCAGCAATCACCATGATACATGTGTGTGCACAGCAAACACCTGGGCTGACAGCAAGGGCCACGGGGTCTTCATTAAAAGACTGGTCAGCCTTAGCCGGTTTGTCTCAGTGGATAGAGAGTTGGCCTTTGGACTGAAGGATCCTGGGTTTGAATCAGGTCAAGGGCACATGCCCAGGTTGCGAGCCAGTGTGGGGTGTGCAGGAGGAAGCCGATCAATGATTCTTTCTAATCACTAATGTTTCTCTCTCTTTCTCCTCTCCCTCTCTGAAATCAATAAAAATATTTCTTAAAAAGACTGGGCAAAGGACTGCCAACCAAATGTAAAAGTCAAGCAGCGGTACATGTTACAGTCAAAGGTGACTTAAAAAAGGAACCAGGGTCATTTGTGCTCTTTTTTTTTTTTTTTTTTTTAATGGTGCTTGAAGTAAAACAGCCCATCCTCTGCAAACCCATCTGTGTT